AGGGGGGGGTGATGTTCATGGGTTGTTAAGAGAAGAGCTGACGGCCCCTTCTCCCCTCTATCTCCTACGAGCCCCCGTGGTCAGGGGAGTTGGGTTTGGTGAGGGAACTGACCTTGCTATCCCAGGAACTGGAGGAGAAAAGTTGACAGGGACGACCACACCCCTTGGTCAGGTGCCTTGAGCCACAAGCCTGGCAGGTGATGATGGTGGGAATCAGGTGGGGGAAATGAGATTTAAAGAAAAGGTAACGTTTGAGTTTTAAACTGGATTGATTTTTAATAGCTGAAAAAGACCTAAAAGTCAGAAAAACTGGGCAATATGTGAAGGGACATGAAGGGCAAATTTGCCGTAAAAACATGGTTCTTAGGTGAAATTGGTGAAGGGGATTAAGAGGTATAAACTTCCAGTTATAAAATAAGTTATGGGGATGTCATGTACAACATAGGAACTATATATATGTTATAGTCAGTAATATTGTAATAACCGTATGGTGACTAGACTTATTGGGGTGATCATTTCACAGTGTATAAAAATATCAAATCACTATAATGTACACCTGAAACTAATGGGATATTATATGTCACTTATACATTAAAAAATACATGGTTCAAAGTAGTCATTGGAGAAAAATAAACTGCTTCATATTTATACCCCCCAGAATTGAGCCTGCTCCAGCTAATCCTTGTAAAATCCTTACCATGGGCCAGGTACTCTGCTAAGCATTTCACAAATAGTCACTCACATAGACCTATCAGGTGAGAACTATTATTATTATTATTTAAAAGATTTTATTTATTTATTTGACAGAGAGAGAAAGCACATGTAGGCAGAGCGGCAGGCAGACGGAGAGGGAAAAGCAGGCTCTCCGCTGAGCAGAGAGCCTGATGTGGGGCTCGATCCCAGGACCCTGGGATCATGACCTGAGCTGAAAGCAGACGCTCAACCGACTGAGCCACCCAGGCACCCCATGGTGAGAACTATTATTATCACCATCTTCCCGTTTTATAGAGGAAGAAACTGAGGCACAGAGAAGTTGAACAATTTGCCCAAGGACATAACTAGACCTGGCACTTAAATGCGGGCAATCTGGCTCCCAGGCCTATGGTTTTAGCCACTAAACTACACTGCCTGGCCAACCATCCACTTTCATATGGTATTTTATTCTGGTGTGGTTTTCCCTCTTGGGTCTTTTGAGGCTGACATTTCTGTTCTTTCCACACTGTTTGTGGTTAAACTTAGTGCCTGGAGGATAGGGATAGAGGTTTTAATAGTTTAAAATGAGGTACTGGACTCGCATTTCTAAAATGACATTTTCCCAAATGGCATGAACTTTAAATGAAAACATGTAAGATCTGACAGTCTGATTTAAGCTCTGAGCAGGGCCGAGGAATAACTAATGCTCACCTCTTCCTACAAACACTACAAATTTACACACTGGGGTACCTGGGTGGCTCAGTCAGTTAAGCGTCTGCCTTCAGCGTGGGTCATGATCCTGGGGTCCTGGGATCAAGTCCCACATCGGGCTCCCTGCTCAGTGGGGAGCCTGCTTCTCCCTCTCCCACTCTCCCTGTTTATGTGCTCTCTCTCTTTCTCCCTCTGTCAAAATAAGTAAATAAAATCTTTAAAAAAAGTTATACATTGATTTGATTCTTAAGCTTTTCTCCTAGATCTTGATTGCATTATGAGGTCTAAGCCCAATGGGCATTTCATATATGCTTCGTATCACCCCCTACCCCGCCGGGAACGCAGTCCCTCACCAACAGAAGTTGCAGCCCGGTTTCCCACGTTTGGGGAAATCACTGGGGTCAGAATGACCTGAGTGCAGGGGATGAGACTCACCTTAAGAGAACCACCCTCGTGATCATGGTATCTTCCTTGCCAGGTAAATATCATCATAAATGCTTTTTGACAATGATTTGAAGGCTTATTTAGTCTTCCAGACCTGTCCAACATGTATCCAGGATAAAAATGTCTTTTGTCTTCATGGCCACTTATTCATTTATTATTGAGACCCATAATGAGTAGCACACATGGGCTCTGTATTGGGATACTTTTGAAGCATCTAACAGAAACTTTGATGTAAACTGTCTTAAATGCAAGGCAAAGGCAGAATTTGTTTAATTAAGCAACTCGGTGTTGTCATCAAGAACCCAGGTTTTTTGTTTGTTTCTTTTTTCTATTTTTCAGCTCTGCCTTATGTAGTGTACAGACTTTGACCAAAGTTTGATTTTCCTCTAATCACAAAATGGCTGCCAGAAGCAACTCAGGTACTCGGCTTCCTTGTTCATCAAGCAGGGTAGAAGGGAAAACCTTTCCCTCAAATCATAGGATGTTAAGTCCTTTCCTTTAGTCTAATTGGGCCTTCGTCATTGATTAAGACTAATAAGCACCCACCGCTAAGACTAATAAGCACCCACACTAATAAGTGTGGATACCTGAACACAGTTGGGGTTTTATTAGAAGGAGGATGGAATAAATCGATGCTGGAGAACCTCTGAAGCTATTGCTTCATCTGGAAAAAGGTGACCTAACAGAAGATATTTCAGAGAATCATGAGCCTCAGAGATAATACATGTAGGGTTGCCAGATTTAGCAAATAAAAATACAGGATTCCCAGTTAAATTTGAATTTCAGATAAAAAGCAAAAGATTTTTTAGTATAAGTATATGCACCTCTTTCTACAAACACTACACAGGGACACATTGATTTGGTCCTTTTTTGTTTTTTCACACTGATTTGGTTCTTAAGCTTTTCTCCCAGACCCTGATTTCATTATGAGGTCTGGGCCCAGAGGGGCAATTTCAAAAATGCTTTTTTGGACAATGATTAGAAAGCTTATTTAGTCTTCTACCCTTGTCCCACATGTATCCAGGATAAAAATATATACTTACACTAAAAAATTACTTGCTGCTTATCTGAAATTCAAATTTAACAGGCCTCCTGTATTTTATCTGGCAGCTCTAAATGTATGTAAAATTCTTGGCACATAGCAGGCATTCATTCAGTGGTTAAGTATTAGTGTTCTTTCTACATAGGAAGAGAGCTCAGTTAAATGGCAGCGTGGTACTTTTTAACTCTTACTGATCTAGAAAATATATGCTTTCGATCAATATTGCAATTAACGGAACTGGATGTGGTTCTAAGAAACCCTTCACCAACTCCTCAAAACCAGATCGAAGTAAATGTCCCTAAGTGGAAGGTCATAGTTATATATATGGGGTGGCACATTATAAAACATCTAAAATTACTACTTAAAACGAAATTGGACCTATGTCAATGAATATTCAGTTATTGGTTTTTCTCAGTCTATGCAGATAAACCATTCTTCATTTGATTCAGAAGTAATGCTGCTGCAATTCCTGGCACGAAGGTGCTAACACACAGGGATGAAAATGCATGATTGGCCCAGGAATTCTGGCTCCACGTGGGTGAAGCTCTAGGTCACAGCACTGTTACTTTGCATCTGGAGGAGGCAGGAGACTCTGCAAAGATCTGCTGTTGGCTCTGACTCCATTTTCCCTCACTGCTAATTCACTGTTCTTACCTGAAAAATTTTCTAATATGTTTCCTGAAAAGCTGAAGGGAAAGCAGGCACCTTCACTTCCTCATCAAATATTCACCATGCTATGAAAAAGAAAACCCTAGTGGCTTGGCACCAAGTGGCCAAACCCAGCATGTTGTTACATATTGTTACCAGCTTCACGACAGGAATAGATTAAGTGGATTTAATTCAAGATATCTATTTCCCATTACTGTACAGTACTGCTTATTTCTCATTTGGTGGCTGCTATGACCTCATAGACTGCTTTTCTGTGCTTTTCCTAAACCAGAAAAGAAACCCCATTTTTCCTCTTTGCTTTAAGTGGAAATTATTATGCAGCTTTGCATAGATTTGTCCACAAAGCCTTTAAACAAGATTATTATTTTTCTGAATTTTCAAAAAGTGGCATTGGAAATGTATCTCCTTCCATTTCATCACCTCATCATCCTCATTGGAAACCTGATCCTTGGTAGGTATTAAGATCTTTACATTTCTTCTGGTCGGGGGGATGACTTCACTGCCAGCTGGGGAATCTTGTGTGGCGGAGCATTGGACTTAAGCAGAGCTGTGGGCTGATGCCTCTGCTGCAACAGCCTTTTGCATGCATCCAGCTGCTGTGTAAGGAATCCTCAGGCTACTAGTTCCTTGCTCCTAATTCACCCAAGGGATCGCAGGCTGCTGGATGAGTGTATGTGTGAATGTGTGTACATGTGCGTGTGTGTGTGCACGCACAGCTGCAACAGTTGGGCAGCAGCTGCAATGAACTTCGGTATCATTTTTACCAAAGACAGAGATAAACCGTCCTCCATCCTTTATTTCCAAGTAGTGCCTCGGCTCCCGCCCCAAATGTGTTCTCCCCGCTCTTCCACGACCCCCCCCCGACCCCCCGCACGTGTCCCTCTGGAGGGAGGCCAGGATAGCTGCGCCGCAGGCAGGATTCCCCTTTTTTTTCCGCAGTGACAGGCGGATTCCCGGGCCTCTTCGGCCCTGCACCCCCGC